TATATACATATTTATTTACATTTATAAGAACAGGAAAAAGTAGTTCTTGACACTTAAAAAATGGGTCTCAAAGGACTAAGGATGTAGCTCAGTGGTAGAACTCTCGCCTAGCATGTGCAAACCCTGGATTTGATCCCTAGCACTGAAAATAAAGGGGTTGGGGGTTTGTCACTGTTTTCATCAGTAGGAATGAGTACCTTCTCATATTCTCCTTTTCCATTCAGTTCTTCTATGAACTCTTTAATAGTCTGCCTTGGCTATTTTTCTTCTCTTTTTCTTGGTACTGGGGATTGAACTCAGGACCTTGCACTTGCCAGGCAGGCTCGGTGCCACTGAGCTACATTCCCGGCCCTTTTCTTTTTCTTATTGACTTGCAGGAGCAAAAAGGCAATATTCTGGAAAGTCAACAAGAATCATAAACCTCAAATTAAATATTTAAGTGCCTACTGTGCACAGCCAGTGGTCTGAGAGCTACAAAGGCTTTCAAGCCATATCATCTTATCCAGCATAGTAATCAAGCACCATGTCAAGCAGCCTAATACAGTGATTAACAATTTGATTTAGAAAATTTCTCACTTTGAGACTCTCAAGTCAGCTGTGCAATCTTGGAGATGTAATTCAACATCCTAAGCCCATTTCCTCAGTTGTTATTATTGGGATAACAATAGCACCCATGTGACAAGGCAAGTGAGACAGTCCATGTGGAAAGGATTTAGTCTGGTGTCTGCCACATGCGCAAAAAAATTCAGCTATTAGCTATTTTTTTTTTTTTGTACCGGGGATTGAACTTGGGTCCTTGTGCTTGCAAGGCAGGTGGTGGAACCACTGAGCTAAATCCCCGGTGTATTAGCTATTATTATTAACCAAGGACATCTGTGAAAATGTCACTCGGCCTAAAATCAATACATCTGATAACTTTTTTGTTAAGGCTTTCAGGAAGTAAAGGAGAAATGAGAAACTACCTTTGTATCCAAACCTCACTAATAAAACATAATTAGTAATGTGTAAGAAAGAAGAGGCTTTAGAGAAAGCAGCCATGTTGTCCAGAGATCAAGAAAGAAGTGAATGACAAAGCTGCACATATTGGATAGGCAGATTTCAAATTTTTCAGAAGAAAATTAGGTCAGTTCCAAGATCAGACACCGTAAAAGGAAGCTCGAGAAGGCTGGGAAGCTCTCACAGCATAATGCTGACTTCATGGTTGCAAAATACACTGATGAGGGGAGAACAAAGGAAAGTAAAAAATATGTCCTACACAGACAGCTTTCTGAATCTCAGATGTCAAAAACCACTCACAACAGATGGTTAAAAAAAAAAACAAGCACATAAAACAAATATAAAGAGTGAAATACAGCTGTAAGTATAGTGAATGAGGCGAAAGGCACAGGTTGAACTGTAACTTTACAAAGTACCAGATACTGAATAAATGGCATTTTAGAGGTCAAAGAAAGTAGAGGGAAAAGTGAAGCTCCCTCCCTCATGGGGTGGTTAACGTAGTATTAACAACAAAGCAAAACAACTTTACTCCTATTTTATTTCCATGCTCAAGCAAAGATGTCTTATTCTTTCCAATCTGAAGATCAAATATAGTTATTGAGAGGAAACTTAACTCCAAGATGGCTGAGTTAAAAAAAAAAAAGTTTTCTCATGGACTTCAAGTCGTTTGATCTCATGAACCATGTTCTGGGGATCCTGAGAGGCATCACAGATAAGGCTGTTTAATTGCTTTCTGTTATCTGTGTGGAATCATGAAGAACAGAAGAGGACTAAAAGCCAGACAGGGTTCCCAATTACAGACATGTTAATCTGAGATGGATCCTGGATTGTTTAAAAATAGGACCTGAAAATAAAGTGTCACATACTAGGAGACAGCATAGACTCACCAGCTAATGCCAAGTTTGACCCTATTTCCTGT